CTGTGGAAGGTGAATCCCTATGCCTATGGAACCATATCATAAAAAGTATATTTTTGTATATTTGTAATGCATAACAGTGATTTTAAGTTTTATTTTAGTGTTTCTAGTCCTATGCAAAGACAAAACAAGCAAATTGTATTTGTGTTATCAATGATACCTGTTTACTTCATGTGTCTTCTGTGATCATTTTGCTGTTGCTTTACTTAAATTGAATATGTTATTTTTAAATCTTACCATGGGAAAAATATACTCCTTAGTAGACTTTTTAATTGCTTTTACTTTTAAAAGCCACGGATGGAGCTATTGTAACCATTTTATGGTTATTTGGCCCTTGTCTTTTCCTAATTATTTTATGCTTTATTTTGTAGAGCTAAAGAAGGACATTTTACTAAGCATAGAAGCTTTTCATTTTTTAAAGATATTTAAATATTCTATCATGCAATCTAAGAATAATCTAAGCTAATAATACCACACTTATGAAGTACTTAGGGTATTCATGGAAAAATATGTACCATTTGCTGTAAAAATTTTGGCAATGAAAATATGTGACTACAAACTCTTAGATTCATGATTGGAAGAATTTAAAAACTTCCTCACAATAAATAAGGTATGTGGTTACAACTGAATGACTAACAAGCAATAATGTATTAGACAACACAAAATGCTGGTGAGATGACCTTTAACAGGAATTAGTTACCCAAACAATAGCCAAATATAATAATGACTTTCTGGCAGTGACTGTAGAATATTTTAAGATTTGATGGGAACTACTTCAAAAATTCATGATAAAGCAACCAACATGAGACAGTGATAAAAATAACAAATTATTTCTGTACATAGAATTTAAGTTAAATAATATATTCAATGGAGGATGGAGTAAGTGGATAAATGCAGTCAAAAGATAAAGATAAAAAGCATAAGGTTTTTCTAACTTTAAAAAATTGTAACAATCATGCATATTTATGGGGGTGCCACGTGATATTTTGAAATGTGTAGACCTTGTATACATCAGCATAAGCCTTTCAACTACTCAAACACATCGTTTCTCAGGGTGAAAATATTTAAAACTCTTTATTCTAGCCTTTTAAAGTTGAAATTTTAAAAGTACATATTACTCAGTTCAGCAAAGTTGCTACAGGAGAAAAGTCAACTAATACCTGTATATTATTTTAAACTACTGGAAGAACAAGAATTTGATGTTAACGGGTTCTCCATTTTTTAATGCTTGTTGTAGAACATAGAATTTGTGTAGTAAGATTTTTTAAAAAAAACTGTTTGTAATACTGCCTCTTTATATTTTTGTTCTCTTTCCTAGATAGGGGATAGTCACCAGTTTTATGGGAAGCTGAGCTGGACAGTAGCTCTTTCCACTGGATGGGACAGGGAGTGTGACAGAGGAGAGAGGAGAATAAGTTCTAAATTAATTACATCCTCTAGCCAATCTTGTGTGACTACCCAGGGATTTTTCATTTTGTATTTAATCCAGTTTCTTGGTCAGACTGATAATACCTGTAGGTTTTTTTTTTTAAAGAAGAACTTTATTGAAATAAAATTTACATACCTTAAAATACATCAATTTAAGTGAATAATTCAGTGGTTTTAGGCAACAGAGAATTGCAACGTAGTAACAACACTAATTTTACAACATTTCCATTATGTGTAAAGAAGTCCAGTACTCAAGCGCAGTCACTTGCCATTCTTTACCAATGTTGTCAGCACCAAGAGATCACTAATCTATTTATGTCTATATGGTGTGCCTCTTCTAGACATTTATTATGCAGTGCCTCCCCCCATTTTTACTTATTTCCTTAAGATTTCTGGAAAACCTATTTCTGGTCCATCTAAAGAGTTAATCATCTTTAGGATTCCATTTTTCTTACAGTATTTCCCGCTATGTTTCCATTTACCTCTTTATTCTGTTTCAAGTACAAATATTACTTCATAATGACTAGTATAATGTATTACAGATTTGAAGCTTGTTGACAGCAGAATTTGACTTCCAAAGACATTGAAAGCAAATGCTTGCTTGAACTTGAGCTGACTTGGAGGGCTGTATGTATACAATATGTTTGACCACACAGATGGTTTTCACATTTTCTTCTCGTGGCAGAGTACAAGAAATTGTACTTCTAGCATGAGGTAAACAAGTGGAAATGTATTTTTACCCCATTAAAATATCATTTTTATTTGTACTTTTTGTGTTTTAATATTATTATTTTCCATGATGCAGTTCTGTAGGTATAGGGATTCCCACCTTCCCCCTGCCTTTCTTCTTTCCCCTTTTTCCCCTCCCCACCACTTTCCCCATATTGTTTCAGTAGTATAGTCCTTCAGCAACAGTCACAAGTTCAACATTCTGCTATTTAAGTCTATCATGGCATTATAGCTATTGGCTATGGTTGAAATACAGTACCATATTGTAAAGGTATATTTAACAGTTTAACTTGGAGTACTCTTTTTGTTCGTAAGTAAACTATCTCTTAAGTTTAACCCATTAATGTTTATACTGAGTAACCAATGATATTTTTTTTGCATTCTGCTAAAAATATTTGACACTGACTTATTTAAAGAGGTAATAAAAATCTAAAGGTGAACTTTAATTTCTGCAATTGCTATACTTTTTAAATGTGTCTTATGAAATGATTATAATAGTAAGTCTTGGGGCCATAATTTTTGCACAATGAATTAAGAAGACATTTGTGACATCGGCTTCCTACATAAGCAATGGTTGAGATCCAGGCTGTTTTGCTTTTGATCAAGGCCTGCTAACACACCTGGGAAGGCAATGGAAAATGACCCAAGGGTCCTGCTCCCATATGACAGATGTGAAAGACACTCTTAAGTCATGGCTATGATCTCGCCCTAGGTCTAGCTGTTATGGACATTTGAGGAGTGAACCAACAAATGAAGGATCTCTCATTAGAAAAATGTCTGAACAAGATCTAGTTTGGGTCACTAAGATGGTTAAGACAGTTGTTTAAACAGAGTCCTGTCAGACAGTTGAATTCTGTTAAAATTTAAGCAAGAAGCATCATCAAATTGACAGAAGGGTGGTAAAACCTTTGACGATTTTGAAGTTTATGTGAAAATAGCCTAAAGAGAGCAACAGTTTACAAATTGGTAACTCATTTTGAGCAGAGGAAGGAGTCCAACCATGTGGCTTGGCAAGCTAAGCTGCTGCTTTAGACACTGGTATCACTCATTGGAGGGCAGATTCTAGTTCCAGTTGCTCTGTTTCAGACCTTGTTTTTTGCTAAAGTAGCTGAGAAGGCAGTGTAAGTTATTAAAGTACCTGGGTCTCTGCCACCTTGGTGGGAGACCCACATGAGTTTCTGAGTTGCTAATTCCTGGTTTCAGCCTGGCCCAGCCCTGATTGTTGAAGGTGTTTGGGAATGAACAATTGGTGGAAAGTTCTCCCCTCTTCTCTCTTCTGCAGCACCAAATCAGAAAATCTAGTTCAATTTGTAAGAAAAAATTAACTATACTCTTATTGAAGAGAACCGGTGATTGACAACAGAAGCAAGAACCAACACTGTAGAGATGTCAGTTGGATCATGAGACACTACTTAAAATAATTGAAATGGGATGTAGAACATGGCTTTGCCACCACAGTCCTGAAAGCAAAGCATAAATGAAGCAATGACTACCAAGAGGAGGATGTGCCCAAACATAGCAGAAGTAGACTGGTTAAAAGCAAAAGTCACAGCAGTGGGTGTTTTGTTTGTTTTTGGATGTTCAAGGCATTTTGGAACTTTCTAAAAGGACACAGAATGATAGCATATGGATGCAAAAGATCTCTACAGTTAGAATTACAAAATATTAAGGAAAGAAATAGAAGACTCAAAAAATGAAAAATATTCCATGAGACTGTTTTGAGAACATTAACCAAAACTTTAGCAACAGCTTCCCTTAGGGTGCTTCTGTCCACAACCATCCTCCTGGTCAGTCCTCTCATTGAGCAAGAGCTGTTTTTCAGACTCAGTGAGAAATCATCGGGTATCACCTTCAGATCTTAATTTGGCTCATTATGAATTCTGCTTTCTAATCGTAAAAACACACTTTAAAAGCATCCGTTTTTCTTCAGTTGATGACATTAGAAACATTTTATTGAAATGATTAAATGCCTAAGACCCTGCGCTTTTTCGGAATGGGTTAAGTGGCTGGTGTCATTACTTGCAAAAGTGTCTTGAGACATGTAGAGCTTATGTTAAGAAATAAAGATTGTGCTTTTTGTTTCAATTCCATTTCTGTACAAGTATAGAAAAGTACAATCCCTTCATAAAAACTAGCAATAACTGCATATTGACAGTTATTTTACAGTTTTTACTTTATTATACTTCATAATTTTACAATACAGTAGGTATTTGAAAGGCTTTGATTTTCAGTGGTAACACATTTTATATTTAGAGAGTTTATGTGTATTGTGGTTTTCTCCAATAAATTTACTCATAAAGATCTTTCTGTTTCTCATGTTGTAACTTGAAATTATGAGTTACACTATTCAGTATAGCATAGTAGAAAATGACGAACTCTTGGATTCCAACTGCCCGCCATCCTATCTGTCTCCAGTGTCTAACCTGTGTAATACACCCTCGTCTCTGTGCTTTAATTTCACCAAGTGCAAAATGAGCATATTAGTACTGTGAAGTTAAAATATATAAAATAATGTGTTTCAGAGTTTCATCACATGCTAAAGACTTTTTCATTGTCTGTGGTATCAGATAGCAAAAATCACTATCCGTAGTGGTCACCAGGACATCTTGATTACATTCTGTCTCTTAGTGATTTTATATAGGGGAGTGGACAAGTTTCTATGCTCTTCAAGTTAGCTTTTGCAATATGTAACGTAGAATTATTTTCATAATTTATGGTACTTAATGAGGTTAAACTACAGTTCAGAGGTTATATTTTTTACTGTTTTTTCTTTAGGAAACATGACAAGGAAGAGATTCCTATGTGTTAAAGGCTTTAACAGCATTTTGTCTCTTTCCCAATGCCAGGGTTTTCCAGGTGACTTTGGGGAAAGAGGCCCAGCTGGTCTTGACGGCAGCCCTGTGAGTACATTTTGATAGTCCAACATTACTGTCTAGGTTATTTATATTCGATAGCAAGTGTACTTGCCATCCTCATTATCACGCTTCTGAATAAACACTTGTAGCTCCATTTCTAAGCTGTGGGGCACACTTCAGTTTGTGATTTTTTTCAACATAGGAGATAAACCCAAGATATTTTGGATAAATTGCATCAGGATATAATCACAACCATTGATTATTTTTGACTTTGTTAAGTATTATTGCTTAAAATATTACAAGTATGTGATCATAACAACGACATATAGAAATGAAGAGGCTGACATACCTCGTGTTAAAATCAATACACTCTGTGCTTGTGCTTTTGAACTCCCACCTGTCCTCAGTGCCCTACTTGCTAGCATTTTATTATAAGTCTTGTACTTAGGGTTTACTCAGATATCAATATTCAAATTGGGGAAGAGTTACCATTCTAAATTCAGTTTAATGTTATTATCAGTGAGTAATGAGAGATGGTGGTAGCCTTGCTTTTTGTTCTCAAGTAGCTTATCCTAAGCACTGCAATTAATATTCTCTCTATGAGTTTTTAAATTTGAATTAGAAGCAGCCACAAAGTCTTATAGCCTAAATAGGGAATAGTTTCAATATTTAAACATCTTTAAACTACTAATGTAATTTGAGACTAGTTTCTTTTTTATTTCTCTTCCAAATTATCTGTGTTAGCAATTCAGTGAATTTAACCAAGCTATTACTTGTTGTAAGGAATGATAAATATAAGTGGAATTAACTTTCAAATCAGTTGTTAAAAACTTGACTAATTTGAGGTATGATGTTAACCATTTTTTCTTGCCTGGAATTCTAGGGAATATTCCTATTTTAGGAATAATAAAGTAAGCATTATTTAGGGTTTATTTCCAAAAAATATAAATTTTACATATCTAATATAAAACCATATTTAATTTTTGGTTACATATGCATAAGATATATTACAATTGATCTCAAAATTTTTAAAACTCTTTTGAAATATTTTAAAAATTGTTGCGAAGAATATTTTGAGTCTTTGAAATATTTCAAAGTGCAACAGTAGATATTTTTAGTTTATTGATTTTTAAGAATTTGAAGTGTGAAAAAATTAGCAAAAGCTATTCCTCTACTTTCTTAATAATAAGGCACTGGCTTAGAGTAGGTTAGGGACATTTAAAGCCTGCAGATATAACAGAATGAGTTCTAAAGACTCATCAAACACCAGCTAAAAGTTTATAATGATGATTAAAAATCTTGTGTAAATAACATAGCAATGTTGGTAATTCCTTACATCTGCATAGCATTTTGTAAAAATGTTCAATACTTTCTATGCTTAGGAAAATTGTGTTTTTATTGTATTTACAGCAATGAGAAATTTTATTCATTTTCTAAATTAAGTTTAAGATTTTTAAATAATGTGCTTTGGGAGTTACAGTGTTGTGAATAGTAAATAAATACCTAACTTTTCATATATTTCAAAAAAGGTAGTGGAAAATGAAATTAAAAGTCAGTTTATTTTAGTGCAAAACTGATTGAAATTTTGCATTCTTTTATCATAATAAATTTTTTTCTGTGAACTTTTTGAAGGCCTACTTATAGGTTACTTATGTCTTTAATGTTGATTATGTTGGAGTTTACTTGCTTTATCAAATATACAAGAGACATTAAGAGTTCTGTATCTTAAACTTGGTGCAGTCATTGCCTCCCAAAACATGAAGTAAGTAGTACTTTTATTTAAAAATTGGTTCCATGGTTTTCTGCATAAATTAAAGACATTTTAAGAGTAGGAATTACAGTAGTTATCTGAGATAGATTAAAATGTCCTAGAAAATTTTGTATTCATCTTCAGAAAATATCCTTAGTGACTGTAAGTCTTATATAATAAATTTTGGACATTTCTTTTACAATAGGGACTTGTAGGTGGCATTGGTCCTCCAGGCTTTCCTGGGATTAGAGTGAGTATCTCAAAATATTATTCTCAAAAAATATCTTACTGTACAATTATGCTTGTTAGAAATGTTTTTAAAATTCAGGAAATGAGAAGTTTTATTGGATACTAACCTTGCTGAAAAATAATGTTATCTGGTTTAGTGTGAACATGAAAATTATAGTTTGTAGTAAACTAAGATGAAATATGTTTCTGTAGATTTGTGTATGTGTGTATACATATATACATATATAGTATATGTATGTGTCATCAAGAAATTATTAATCATGATAGTCTCCTTGAAAGTGTGACATAGAATAGCTACTTATTTCCTGTACCATCTGGTCTGGAATTTAGCACACATGAAAACAAGCGCTAGGACTTTAGGCTATAAAAGAAAATCAAAGAAATTGCTAGGAAAATCACTGAACGAAGGAGAGAGACTAGAGCGAAACACAAATCTGACTCCAGTTTTAAATGTTCTTTCTTCTACGTTTAACTGCTCCAAAGTACAAGATGACAGTTTGGTCAAAGGAGTAAGTCAGGAGCTTGGTTAGGAAAACTCTAGTCAGTGTCAAAGATTCTAACTTTATATCATGGGAAAACAAAAATGTGAAATTTAGAGTCAGACAACTTGAATGAGCCCAAGACATTTAAACACTAAGCTTTTCTGTTACATAATACTAACAGCAGCAGCAACAATATGAGCAATAGCATCTCACTCCTGTGTAGTATTTTCTGGGTACTTAGGACAATGGTTAATATTTAACTAGTGTGACAGCCCATAACTGCTTTGAGTCTAAATTTGAAAAAAGTGACTTAAGTCAAGAATTTAAAATTTTATCATGTTCTGCCACATCCAGAAAATTTACACTAGCTTAAAATATGTCTTATTTACTTTTGAGACTTTTTTTGTGAGAATCCCATATGAATACAGAACACAGTGGACGAATGTGGAGCGCACTGATATAAATACAGGAGTATAGGATGCTTTCTTATATGCAGATTTCACGCAATTTGGATATTTTCCTAGTAGTAAAATAGCTGGTTCATATGGTAGATCAATTTTCAGCTTTCTGAGCATTCCCCATATAGACTTGCATGGTTTCTGTGCTAATCTATACTCCCACCAACAGTAATGTCGGGTACCTTTCTCCCCACATCCACACCAGCAGGTGTTGTTAATAGGTTTCTGGATGTAGGTCATTCTTGCTGCAGTTAGGTTGAAACTCAATATAATTTTTATTTTCATTTTCCTAATAGTTAAGGTTCCTGAAGCCTTTTTTTTTGCATGTCTGCTAGGCATTTGAATTTGTTCTTTTGAAAAATGTCTGTTCATTTCCTTTGCCTATTTCTTCACAGGGTTGTTTGTTTTACTGTTGTAGAGTTTCTGAAGCTTTTTGCAAATTCTGGATATTGTCCCCTGTGTTGTGTAGGGTGTAAAAATTTTTTTCCCATCCTGTTGGTTGCCTCTTCACTTTGTTTATCATTTCCTTTGTTGTACAGAAGCTTCTTAGTTTTATGTAGTACATCTATTTGTTTGGACTTTGACTGCCTGTCCTTTGGGGCATTTTTTTTTTTGTCTTTGCCTATGCTTATGTCCTATAAAGTGCTTCCAGTGTTTTGTTCTGGTAGTTTGGTGTTTTCTGGGTGCAGATTTAGATCCTTGATCCATCTAGAGTTGATTTTTATATAAGGTGAAAGGTGACAGGTCTTGCTTCTTACTTCTGCAAGCTGCTATCCATTTTTCTCAACATCATTTGTTGATGAGAGTAATTTTCAATTTTCTTCTCAAAGATTAGTTGGCTGTATATGTGTGGTTTCACCTTAGGCGTTTCTATTCAGTTCCATTGATTTTATTCTCTGTTTTTGTACGAGTAACAGTCTTTTGGTTACCTTGCCATGGTAGTATGTTTTGAAATTTGAAATTTTGATTTCTCCAACTTTATTTTTGTTCTTCAAGATTTCTTTTTGCTATTCATGGCCTTTTGTGTTTCCAGTTGAATTTTTATATTGTCTTTCAAGCTCTGAGAATAATGTTGTTAAGATTTTGATTGGGATCTCATTGAGTCTGTATATGACTATTGATAATACAGAAATTGTGATGATGACGATGCTTCAGATCTAGGATCATGGTACATTTCTTCATCTTATAATGTCTTCTTCTATTCTTTTTTATTGTAATTTTTGTCATGGAGGTCTTTAACAACTTTGGCTGACTTTAATTCAAGGTATTTAAGGTTTTTCTCCAGTATTTTGAAGGATACAAAGACCAGTATCTTTTGGAGATGCCAGAATGTTAGGCAGAGGATTAGCCTGCCATGTCACTACTGGCACCTCATCTCACGTTTTATTGAAAAAAAAAGCTTAATATTATGTATCTTTGATCTCTTAGACAAAGCTCTATGCTAGTAGTGCACAGGAAAATAACTATTTTATTTCTCTTATTTTTCTTTAGTCACTCATCAATTGATAAGATATTTTCTAGGAAAAAAACTGGGTAATAATACTATATATTTTTATTTGTTTATTTTATAGTTTTATAATTACACTAGTGACTGAGATTATTACCTGTCAGTATAATGATTGAAGAACCATGAGGAAATCAGTCTTTTCTACAGTATGCTTATTAGAACTCTTAATTGACCAGTGGCTGCTATTTTTAGTGATGAACAACCTATCCTTTGAGTCTCTGAAAATGCTTTCAGAAAGGCATTTTTGATATGTTTTCTTTAAAGAAAAGATTTATTTATTTATATTTGTTTGTTTATTTATTTATTTATTTGAAATGACAAATTGCAGAGAGAGGAAGAAATCGAGAGAGAGAGAGAGAGCGCTAGCCCATCAGCTGGTTTACTCCCCCCAAATGCCACAACAACCAGAGCTGGTATACAGAAGCTTCTTCTGAGATTCCCCCATGGTTGCAGAGGCCAAAGCACTTGAGATATCTTCTGCTGTTTTCCCAGGCACATTATGAGGGAGCTGGTCAGAGGTGGAGCAGCTGGGTCTTCACCAGGAGGGGATGATGTCATCTCAGGCAGTGGCTTTATCTCTATAGCACACCCCCCACCCCAAGCATAGTTTTGAGGATTAGGATTTTTATGCAGTTTTTTTCATGCCACAATATGCTTGGTGCTTCTTTGATGTATCTGTATATGCCATTCAAATTTTACTTCATAATTCTCCATCTGACTAATTTCTTTCTATGATGTATTTTTTGGCATTTACTAATAATTAAGTTTTATGATTTTGTTTATGGAGTCACTCAAATAGAATATTAGTATACACAAAGTCCATTCATTTGAAGATACCTGGCTTAAGTGCAGTAACTTGTGAGTTTAGAGTATTATACCTATGGAAAAAAACAAGACACAAGGGCTTTTGTATTTGTGAGACTTAAAATGAACTTCTGCATAATTTGCAAGAAAATATTTCTATTACATTTTCAAGATGATAATGAACTTTAATAATAAACTAGCTACTGTAACCATACGAGTAACTGTTTCCTATTGACAAAATTTGAAATTACAAGCAATGATGTATTAGTATTACATATCTGTTGGGTTGGAAACAATTACCTTTTTCCCCTAGTAGTCCCATATATTTCAAGATTAAGCATGTTGAAAATAATTTGTCTTAGTTGTGTTTCACAGACTGTATGATTCATCCAAAAGTAAAGAAGTCATATTTTCCGTTTGGAAAGTTGTATTATTTAAATTCAGCCTATTAAAAATGCTAGGTTATGTTGGGAAAAAAAGAGCTCAAGAAATTGCTTTTGAGATTTTTTGTCAGTAATCCCTTCAATGGGCAATCCATACTTTATTTCAAAACTATTATTTTGGACCTGGGAGATTTAAAAAAAAAAAAATGAAGCATGCTTGTAGTCACACAGAATACCCAAACCAGGAAGACAATGCAGGATACATAACTAATGGTGATGTACCAACAAAGGAAACTATGCCTGCAAAGACTGAGGTCCTGTATTAAGAGAAAACATGTTGAGAGAATGAAAAATGATCAGTTGTGCTTGGAACATAGGATTTCGGGCAGGGAGACAAAAAGGGCAAAGGGAAGAAAATGCAAGGAAAGGAGACTGGGAGTGATTCATAGAAATCTAATACAGAAGAACCTGAAAGGCTATCCTAAGACACCTGGAGCCATCGGGTTTGTGGTTCAGATGCCACTTGGGATGCCTGCATCCTTTATTGGAGCACCTTGGTCAAGCTCCAGCTGCACTCCCAATTCCAGTTTGTTGATGTATACCTCTAGAGGAATCATGTGGCAGTTAAGTAACTGGGCCCTGCAGCCCAGATGGGAGACATGGGTTGAGTTCTCAGCTCCTAATTTACACCTGGTCTAGCCCCAGCTGTGGAGGGATTGGCGTAGTGAATGATAGATTTGTCTCTCACTTTTCTGTCTCGAACAAAATGATTTTTCACAAATGCAGTTAAAGAAAAATATGTATCCCATATGCAGAGGACAGTATTTTAACACTTCACAAATACAGCCTTAAAAGTTCCCAAACATTTGGACTGAGGAATTGTGTGGAGGACAGACACAGTGAGGAGTTGAGAGAAAGAACTAAAAATAGGTTTCAGTGACACAGAAGTTATTGCTTTTCCATAAACTGTCAAGCATGCCCATATTTTTGGAATACAATAACTGTTACCTACTGTGTTTGCTTGCAGATGATAATGGTAGATCTGTTTTTAAAAAATTGGAACATTAGATTGAAAAATCTAACATTAGACGTATCCTTTTCAACTTTGTTTCTTCAACACTACCACAGTATCTGGTGCGTTAATGCTCAGTCAGTATTAAATGATGAATAAATGAAATAAGCTTAGAAGAGTAGGGTCTTTTGTCTTCTACTCAGTTTATTCCTAAATTTAGGATGCAGTTTTTCATTCTACAAATTTAAAGTCATAAAATCACATCACAAATTGCTGTCACACAGTGCTTCCTCAAAATTTGCTGCTATAAATGGGTAAAATTAAAATGTGGTATAATGAAACAAAGGATTTTTAAAAATGTTTCCTTGGAGTGTGATGCTAAAATATTTCTTCAAGATTTTACCTAGCTGGAGAAATATCACAGAATGAATGTCACAGACTGTACATATTATCGGAATGCTCAACAAGAATCTGCTGAATTAATAAGAGTGATAAAATCGTCACATAATGGAATGGAGTGGTTATCGAATTCTTCTTAGGAGCACAGCATCAATATATTCCTGTAAGATATTATCTGGTTAGAGAAATATGCAAGACGAAATCATGGGCAATAATACATGAGCTCCTCGGAAGGAAATCTCATGGACTACTCCAGGGTGACAAGGCTTCAGGAGATAGAATGCACTTTACTTTAGGTGAAAGTTTGCTATGCCTTGTAAGTTTAGAGAGCAAAATAAGTTGTTAAAGATTAAGGCACATGTGGGAGCTTAGTGAGATACAATACTCCAGGTTCAATAATTTATTAATTTTTCCACAATCTCTTTCTGATAGCAGTGAAATGCTTCAAGATGCCTTTTATTGCTTTTCCAGGGCAGTGTAGGTCCTGTGGGACCAATTGGAGCTTCTGGAATTCCTGGCCCAATGGTATGGTTTTATTTGCATATTGGGTATGTATTTCACTTTAATTTCTCTGTGATATTATAAAATCTCTCTCTCTCACTCTCTTTTTTTAGGGTCTTTCAGGGAATAAGGGACTACCTGGAATCAAAGGTGATAAGGTGATTTAAATGTTAATATTATCACAGAGCAAATTTATTATCAGTTTTCTTTTACTTTCAAATAAATACAATATAGAAACTTGTTTTTAATAATAGGATCTAGTTTGCATAATGAAATATATGCATTTCTAGAGGCAGTTAAACTGATAAATTATTGTTCTTAATATTTGTTTTCTTATAATATTGTCATGCTTTCTCTAGGGTGAACAAGGCATTACAGGAGAGCCAGGAGAGCCAGGGTATCCTGGAGACAAGGTATCACTTGAAACATTGATTTTATAGAAATATGAACATTGTATAAATTCAAAAGAAATAATTTAATCTTGTATTTTGTTAGGATGAGACATCAATATAGTTTTAAGTTATTGTTTGACTTTTTTTTAATTTCTTAATGTATACCTAAGGATTTTTGGTTGTTTGAGTAAAGGTATACCTTCCTTTCATGGTATAATAGCTTCTCTACCTTTATGATTCTCTTCTTCTAGGGCACTGCTGGTTCGCCAGGACCACCGGGAATGAGAGGAAAGCCCGGACTTTCAGTAGGTTTGAACTTTTCCTTTGTTTTTTTAGTGAATCATAGCGTGATTGATGCTTGCTGATGAGAGCAGAAGCTGATTGTTAGACTACCAGTCTTGCATTTTTGCTCTTCAGTTTTAGAATATCCCTGAAGTGTTTACCTCGTATTCCATAGAATGTGGGAACTTTCCCTCACCCAAAATCTCGGCCAAAGCTAAGTTTTAATGCATTCTAAAAGTCTTGGTTATGTTATTTCTCTAAATGAAACATTACAGGCAATATTTAAATGGCACATGGTGTTTTTAAACTAAAAAGACATGAATTATTTTAAATAACATGGTTAATTTTCCAAATATCAGTCCCTTAAGGAAACATTCTCAAGAAAAGATAATATGTTGCACTCCTTGGTGGTCCCAGATATTCTATTTCTTACCCTTTTAATCTAACCTCTTGACATCAGTTTTAGAAAAAAAGCACCTTATGTTCTAATTAACATAATCCACAAGTTATTGAAATAGAATTAACTTAATAGTTTTAATAAAATTATAAAATTGCAATGCAAAGCACTTCTCTAAATATTAAAAGTGATAGTTAACATTTACTGTCTACAATGTGTAAGGCAGTATTCAAGGGACTGTCATCTAATTTAATGGTCAAACAATCCTATGAAGTTGGTGTTATTACTACTCCTATTTTTTAGATTAAATTGAGACATAGATTATTAAATAACCTACCCAAGATTCAATAGATAGTAGGTGGCCATCCAGGAAAACTTGGATAATCAAATATATCAGAACTCATAGACTTAGCTATGTGCTATATTGTTTTACAGTTAAAATTTTAAGATTGCTTGAGGATCTTGATTACAACTCTATGAAAGTGATTTAAGTTGGGAAAAACTAGAAGCAGAATTATAGTTTGTTGATATGACATTCAGATATGCATTTAGAGGAACAGTTATTTACCTGAACAATGCATCATATTCCTTTTAATTCCAATCTCCCAGCTACAGATAAATTATTTTTGCCTTTCAAGGAGGCATTGTTACGTCTCAGAGCCTAATGGGCCCCATTCTTTGTTGCTTTATCCAACAGTAACAGTAGTTTACTTATGCCTCTTGGGGATTATTTCATCCAAAAAGCAGTTTCGACTTCTTTGATGACACGTCAGTGGTTACCTCTGCATTTACTGGCTTTGTGCCCTGGGAGGATGGCGGTTGACTTAGTCCCACATAGAGTAGCATTCAGAAACTACCAAGTATGTGCATAAGGTTATGAGCACAGGGCATAAAGTTAACAGACAGCTTTCCCCCCCATTTTTTCCTTTTCTTTTTTAAGAATGATTTCAAACTACATTCAAACTTCTGGTATCTGAGATGATTGGAAAAATTACATTTTAACTTTTTGCATCTCTTTCTCACTGAATATGATGGTTTTCTAGCTTTTGGTAGTAAACAGAATTGAAAGAACACACCATTTGAGATCAATATTAATAAATTGTATCAATACTATATCTGTGGTTCACAGTTAACTTTCTAAGAAAACCACAGCTTAATTTCATTTTTACATAAGGCAAACCATTTTTAAGGTTCCTGACTCTTTGATTTAATTTGCATTGATAAGATGCTTATGGAAGGATAAAATTTCTAGTCTGAGAGACTGAGGTGAGTCTAGTTTCAGTTCTGATGCTTCGCTTGTGCTCTCGGGCATCATCCACTGTGATATCCAGTTTCTCACGTTTAAAATCAGAGTAAAAGGGGTTCATATGTTAGGATTTGACAGGATATACCATCACCCCATGTTAGAGCGAAGGACTCACATCCCATTTACTCACTTTTGATCCAGTTTGCTGTCAGTGTGCATTCCGGCAGACAGCCAGTGTCTGAGCCCCTAGCCTATGTGAGAGACAGGAATGGGATTCTAGTCCTTAGGCTTTTGCTTGGCACAACCATAGTTACTTCAGACATCTGGGGAGTGAACCAGTGGAGAGATCATTTCTCTCTCTCTCTCTCCCTTTCTACCTCTCCCCTCTTTACCTCTCTCTGTTCTCCTCCCTCCCTGCCTTCCTTCCTTTCAAGTACACAACAATAAGCAAATGTGCAAAAAATAAGAGGTCTGTCATCTTTAAGATTCCTTATTCCTCCAGGAATCTGATATTTTTCTCTCCTAGTAATAGTTACTAATATTTATTTTCCAATAGTTACCAATATTTCTGTCATACAAGATATTGGTGCTACTAACATTGTGTCCAGATGATACAAATTGTAACATGAAAGAATATTTTTGAGATATAAGAATGAATATTCTGGTGTAGATGGCTTTTACATTCTGGAAAATGAAAACTTTGTTCTATGAGTATTCAAAAACTATCTAAATGACAACTCTGAACTTCTTTGGAAATATTCTTCTGTTGAAGCATTAAAAAACAAAGACAATTATGTCCTTCATAACTTTGACCAGACATTTCTATCACTTGTAAAGTTTGCTTAACATTATCAAATTGAAAATTTATATTTTTTATAATGGAAGTTTGACATTCAGAGAAAGCTTTGAAATAGAGATTTTGCAAAGTGTAACTGTTTTAAGGAATGACTATAATTATTCCAGAAAGTACATTTTAAAATATCTGAGTTCCAATCAACTTCTCTGAAAACATACAGTATAGTGTTTTTTTTTCCTTAATGCTTTTAAATTTAGCTACTTGGTTGAATCTTGCCACTAGAGGGCCTCAGTGAAATCCGCATCCATGTATATAAAGAGGTGACTGAGACTCAAAGCACTGATTCTGATGGATCAGTGTTTATTTGTTTCTTTAGGAAAAGGAACTTAAGTGGATTTTTGTATAACATTTAATTAACTTTTTCCAGGCTTTATTTCATTTATTGCTTTGTCCTATTTCATGGCTGGGATCTGATACAATGTAATATCCAATGCTTAACAGAAATTAGTTGTATGAGCATTTTTGTGACCTAACACCTACTTAAATAAAATGTAAAGGTCATTTAGAAATTTTACATCACATAAATAACAAATTCAATAGCTTCTGTTAGGAAAACAAGGGAATCGCTACACTTAAGACTTTAGTTGTTCTAGCTCTTACCAACTTGATCAAGTTTCAGATTCATAGCAACCTCTCCTGTTTTCTGCTTTCATTGTCCTCTCTGTCACTGATTTCACATCTGTAACATGAAAGTCAAGATGTTGAAAATAAATCCTCAGAACAAAAATGAACAAAAGAGCAGCAGATACGAATTTCACCTTAGAACATTTGGATCTAATAGACATCAACAGCACATTCCATCCAACAGCTGCAGAATACACATTTCAACAACACATAGAACATTGCCCAGGATTGATCACTTGGTAGGTCACTGTTTCAACAAATTGAAAAGAATAGAAATCATATCAAGTATCCTTTCTGAACTCAGTGCAATAAAATTAGACCTCCACTGCAAGATAAATTTTAGGAAGAATCAAAACAGTCCAAAAATTCTGCGTCACCCAGGAGAAGGGTAAGGAGCAGAGACTACAAGGGGAAAGAGAAGGAATTCATGATCACAAACCCGGTTGATGTTAATGAGTGCTTTCTATGCCAGACATTGTGCCTGGCACTTTCCATATAGTGTTTCAGTTAACGCTCATAAACACTCCATGAGAATGTTACTAGTATTGTCTGTATTTATAATTTATTGATACGAAAAACGAGGAATTAGAGAGGTTCGAGAACCAGAATTTCAATATAGGTTGAGTTTTTAATACTAAATCAGGCCACTAAGAGTAGTAAAAGGAAGAGAGGTTTACAGACAGTGTCCTAGGAGTCTGGCTATTAATAAACGAAGTCAGTTCCTCAGTTAGAAATTGCTGCCTCTTCGAGTTTAGCTTTATTTTTATAGCTCTGCAGGAAGAATTTTTTAGCATTGAACTCATCAAAATGTTGATAGGAATAAATATATATGATATCCAAAATGTTGTATTTAAGTAAGTTTCATTCACTGTGATGATGATCATAAATTTAATCTCTGAAGTCATTAGCACCTTGGTTGCTATATGCTATATGCACTGTTGCTTACCAATGCCTATTTCCTCTTTTAATTGTATCTTAAAGATTAATGTTTATATTTTGTATTTCCCCTTTCCTCACCTAGGGCCAACCAGGTGACCCAGGACCCCAGGGACCACCTGGCCCTCCAGGACCAGAGGTAAAGTATTTGTGGAAAGACAATAAACTTGAAACAAACATACTGAAAATTAAAATTAATTGGTAAAACATGTTTTTACATAGTAGGCTTTAAAAAGATTTTGCAATGTTGATATTTGTGTAAATAGGTTGGACTACATTTTTTCTGTTATGTCAGTGATTCTAAGGAAGTAAAACAGTTTTTGCACACTGTGCTTCCCACAGAGCTGTTTATTAATGCTACATGGAAGCTATTAATGATGCATACTTAGTTTCTGGCATGTTATAACAGACTATTAAATGCCATCTGCAACGCCATCATCTCATATGGACACTGGTTCGAGTCCTGGATGCTCCTCTTGTCTGCCTCCTAGCTAATGGCCTGGGAAAAGCAGAAGGGAGCCCAAGTAACTGGCCCCAGTACCCACATAAGAGACCTGGATAAGATATATGTCATCTGGTTTCATCCTAGCCTTGTCCTGGCCATTGTGATCATTCGGAGTGAAGAAGTGGATTGATGGTCTTTCTCCTTCTCTTCATCTCTACTTTCTCTGAGATTCTGGCTTTCAAATAAAAAAAAATCTTTAAAAACAACTTTATGACATTCCTGTGAAATAATACAAAGCTAATATTTTTCATGTTGTAAAGAAATAAAATGTCAAGAATACTAGGGAAACCCAAGGAAGGTTAAAAACAATGACTAAAGATGTCATAATACTATTTTTTTAAAGAACATAGCTATATTAGTTATATATTTCAATTGTTAAATATTCTGTTTCTTATCTCAGGGTGTAGAAGCCAAATGAATAGAAAATAGATGTTTGGTAAATACCAAGTTTCACTAATTATATGAACTTCATATTTTACTGTAACAGAGATAAACTGATGATTTCACAGTTTATCTTAGGGGTCTTTATTTAATGTGATGTAAAGTAAATACAAATCTGTGGAATGTTATTAGCAAGCAACTATTAATAATGACACTAAATGAAACAGTTGATAGCTTTACTATATTACTTTTTAAGAATTTTAATGTTTACTGATACTGCAAAACATTCCAGTTGCCCATTCATGTAGTGTGAACCATAAGCAAAAGATCTTGTTAATTGTAAATAATAGGGTTAAATGTTATTGTTAAATAGAAGATTATCATTATTTATATTTCTGGTATAGCCACACTTAAATTTTGAAATAAAAGATGTGTACTACATAGATATGATTATATGTACAATTATACACTTCTTTGTAAACATCCCCAGCTTCTTATTTTGGATGTTGATTAAATGAAATGATTCACTTAAAAAAAATGATGCATACTTAGGGGTAGAAGACAAAAGGTCCACTGAATTATTAATATAAAATGCTTCTAAAAGATATGTATGTGTGATGTAATTCTTATATTCTAGAATAACCATAACTAAGTCTATACCACATGTATCAAATTTGTAGATTATTTAAATTTTTGAATTTAGTTTAATTCATGATGCGGAGCGCTTTCTTTTCTGAAAGTTGACATGGGAACATTAGCTTCCCAGAAGAAACAGGTCACTCTGCATTACAATATGCATCAAGATACCCTACATGGTTGTAAAATCTTATGAATCTCACTCTAGTTTCACAAAAGACATCAGCACATAAATGGTACTTCCAAAAGTTTATGGAAAGTGGAATTTAATATAAATTTATTTGAAGCAAGACATTTTTAAATATATCCTTAATTTCTTACCACATGCGTTTCTGTTGACTTTTTGAAGCATTTTAAAAATACTTGAATAAAAAAATTTCTTTGCATTTCAATTTTCCATAAATATTTTGAAACACTCTCATTTGTGTATACATACACACACATATTAGTATACAGTTAATTCAGACTCATGGATTCAAGAGTAAAGCTTTGAAATGAATTTAGTATCAGAAAAAATAGATCAAAGCAATAAAATCACTATAATGACAGAGCAGTAGGCTGTTTTTCTAGGAATAGTACTGTGCTGACTCTCTTTCTCTTTCTCTTTCTCTCAGCTTTTAAGATCTACTTCTTACTCCATCTACTTCTTTCAGGGTTGGCTGATATTTTAACAAATGCCAATTCTTACTTACTGTCTAATTTAAAAACATGTTGGAGGTAAGGTGTGGAATCCTGGGTTAAACGACTGCTTTGTTCAATGTGTGTATGCAGCTTCTCCTGAGAGGCAACAAACGATGGCCCAAAAGCTTTGTTCCTACCACGCAGAGGGGAGCCCCTGGCCTCAGCAAGGGCAGCCCTGATTTGTGTGGTCATTTGTGGAGAGATTGGACAGAGTATCTTTCTTTGTGGCACTCCTTTTTTCTCTCTCTGCCTATGAACTAAATACATCCTTTAAAAAAATGAAAAACAGTAAGTATTGATACTTTAAAAATCTAAAAAAAAAAATGCACTTACCTGGTTTTATTGCTAGGGAGGTCATAGCACATACAGCAGGAGGTTGATGTTGTCATCTTAGAAGGACGTTGTTTGGAGTAATGAACCGATACTCTTTCTTTTAAAGATTTTTTTTTTAATTTTTATTTTTATTACAAAGTCAGATATACAGAGAGGAGAGACAGAGAGGAAAATCTTCTGTCTGATAATTCACTCCCCAAGTGAGCACAACGGCCAATACTATGCTGGTCCGAAGCCAGGATCCAGGAACTTCTTCTGGGTATCCCACAGGGGTGCAGAGTCCCAAGGCTTTGGGCCGTCCTTGACTGCTTTCCCAGACCACAAGCAGGGAGCTGGATGGGAAGTGGAGCTGCCGGGATTAGAACCGGCACCCATATGGGATCCCAGTGTGTTCAAGGCGAGGACTTGAACCTATACCCTTTTAATCATCTTTAATGAGAATTAAAACAGTTACCCATCTTTTCATACTAAAAATACAGGATCTAACTTAGCTGTCATTATCTGTAAGGTTATTATTAGGACTGCAACTTGTTCTTTTTATTGTTACTGTGACAATAGTAGCAGATGATTTATGCCACGGAAAGTACTTGGTTTCCTCCTTGCAATTAGTATGGCTTGAGATCATTTTTTTTCTCATGAAGTTAGTTAAGGGCTGTAGTAGTCATTTTGTTTTTGTTGTTAATCACTGACTGCTCATTCTTCCAATTGTATTTCTTTTTCTGTATTTTTAGAAATTTTATGATTTGCCATCAATATTCAAAACATTGTTATTGTCTTTGCTGTTTGCATTAATATAAGGTCCTGAGTCCCTTATCAGATTGTACTCATTTTTCCTCTTTACCTCTCTTAAGCAGTTCATTTGAGGCCAAGTATGTGACGTACATTCTCTCAAGAATTGACATAAAATTGTTTTGGGAAATGGGGCTAAATCAAAGGTTATATTTTCCATGATTATAAACAAATACTACCTAGGTAACAATGTACGAGGCAATGCTTTTCCCAAACTCTCCATAGTGTTAGGCTTTTAATACAATTGCATCAAGGAATTCAAAATAGTATAGATAATGATAAATGTAGCCTGAAAATTTGTATTAGCACAGTAGATAATGTTTGTTGGGTTGAGAGTCTCCTGTGTTATGGTAAACTTACTCTTTCATAATAGGACAGTAACCAAAAATTTCTAAGCAAGGGATGGAATTATCAGGCTTGTGTTTTACAGTTAAACTTGGTAGCAGGGGGTAAGGCAAAAGTGAAGGAGGAAGAGAGATACTAAGAGAAGTTAAAGCCTATTTAAAAGGATGCTGGTGGTAGAACTAGAAACTCAGGATGGCACATTGTGGCAATGGGGTGGGCAGAATGCAAATGTCATTTATAGCATTTGAGCCATTCAGTTCACTTCGTTCAGTTTGGGAGAGAGTATTCTAAAATACACAGAAAAAAAAAGAGGAGAGGAAACAGAGGATTCCGAATATGGTTGCAAATAATGATTTGATTTTGAGTCTTTTGAGGTCAAAATGCTTGACAAAAGTAATAAAGTTAATACACATATTCAAACTGTAGACCTAAGTCTCAGAATTAAAGAATCGACTACAGATACTGCTTATATTGTCATCTACATTGGGTGAAGCAGTTGAGACAGATGAGATCTCTTCATGAAACAAAGTGAGAAAATACTATACCTGGGCCCTCATTGCTAAAAGACTACATTCTTTGAAGTTAAATTTTAATCTGATAAGAAAAGGACATGGAAGCACATTTTGCTAAGTGGAAAATGTGTTCTTAAATAAGTTATAATCTAAAGAGAAAAAAACATTCACAGTGAAAGGAAATATTTAGAACTGAAGAACAATTGACTAACAATTTGAGTGCTAAAAGCTTAAAGCAATAGTGGAAAATTCAGTGAAATCCATTTCTCTGAAAAGCAGGGAAAATGGAAACCAAGTTACGAAGAATGTTAAGCATAGGGATTTGTTTCAAAAGGATAAAAAATGTTGAAAGTGGGTGACCAAGGCTTTGTCTTCTCTAGGAGTAGAAGACTACATTGTAAAAGATGAATGTACAGGTAGAGGAATCTTGAGGAGTACTGTGAAAAAGGAAAGGGGAGTGACTGGTGACCGGTAAAGTGATTTCTGAAATTGTTCAGGTTGAAATTTAAGAGATTTTTCCTCAAATACAGCCACAAAATCTTGTACATTTTATTGGAAACTATTGAAAATTTGAATCTAAACTTCTACTGACTAAAACAGTGAAATATGACCAGTTTTATGTGATTTGTCTTTCCCTTGAATGAAAACAAATTTGTTGTTCAAAGGAGAGTATTAATTCAATGTACTAAAGCTTGTGATTTCTACTTTTTGGTATAGATGAATGTTGTAACAACCTAGTACAAGTTAGTAAAAAATAATAATAATAATAACTCTCTCATTGGACCACGTGATGAGCAATAGCCAGAGCTGAGCTGATCCAAAGCCATATGTCAGGAGCTTCTTCCAGGTCTCCCATGCAGGGCCCCAAGACCTTGGGATGTCCTGTACCCTTCCCTACGCCACAATCAGGGAGCAGGATGGCAAGTGGCGCACCCCTGACAGGAACCAGTGCTCATA